CCCTCTTGGAGCTGTCTTGAGGCCTCGGAAGGCGAAGAATGTTTGGCCTCTTGGCGGCCTCCTGGGGAGGCTCCGTGGCCACTCGGAGCGGTATTGGAGCGGTCTTGGGAGCCATCTTGAACCATCTTGGGCTATCTAGGGCCATCTTGGAAGTAATCTGGGCTCTCTGAGGCCCTCCTAGAGCCATCTTGTGTCATCTTTGACGCTCCGACGACCCGCGACCCCACTCGTCCAGGTGCAGGGGAGGGGGTAGGGGGGGGGGGGGGCAAACCCCTCCCCGAAGGGGAAGAGGGAGGGGTGGAAGAGGAAACGCGCTAGACCACCTACGCCCAGAGGACTGGTGGGATTTATAGGGCCCTCACACGCAAGCTGTATAGGGAATCGTGCCGTCTGAGGCTTGGGATCCTTTCTTTCCTGATCCCCTGCCAGCGCTGCTCCCTCTTTCCTCCTCGGGATCTGTCCCCCTCTTGCCTCCCCTGTGTCTTCCAACTTTGCAAGCACCATGCGTACGCTGAGCGGCCTGTTCCCGTTTCTCCTGGAGGGCCAGCGCGCTGCAGGCGCGCTTGCCTCCTTGCAGCGGTGATGGCAGCTTCGCTCGTTTGTTCGCCCCCTGACAGCGCGGTGGGGCCGCACCCCTTCCCCGACATCGTGCGCGACCTGCAGTCGGTCATCGGCAACGAGGCGCGGGCGCAGATGCTGAACCAGACGACCGGGGAGCCCGAGCCTCGGGGCGCGCGCGGGCGGCACGGCGCGTTTCCTCCTCCTCCTCCTCCTGCTTCTCCTCCTCCTCCTCCTCCTCCTCCTCCTCCTCCTCCTTCTACTCCTCCTCCTCCTCCTCCTCCTCCCCCTCCTCCTCCTCCTCCTCCTCCTCCTCCTCCTCCTCCTCCTCCTCCTCCAAACTGGGGTCGATGGAGACGGTGTCGAGGGATCGCGCCACATCGTCGATGCATCGGCGATGCGGCGCCGGTGTGGGGCCTGCCGGTCTCCCTCTCGACGATGCGTCGCCGGCGTCGGTGGTGCGTCGGCGGTGCGTCGGCGGTGCGTCGGCGGTGCAGCGGCGATGTGGCGCGGTCTCCGAGCCCGTCTACTCGGATCCCATTCGGGAGGCCTCCTCCTCCTCCGCCTCCGCCTCCGCCTCCGCCTCCGCCTCCGCCTCCTCCTCCTCCTCCTCCTCCTCCTCACTCCTCCTCCTCCTCCTTTTCTCTTCCCTCCTCCTCCTTCTCTTCCTCCTCCTGCTGCTGCTGCTGCTCCTCCTCCTGCTGCTGCTGCTACTCCTCCTCCTTCTCCTCCTTCCTCCCTCCTTCCTCTCCCCTTCCTCCTTCCTTCTCCCTCCTCCCTCCTCCCTCCTCCCTCCTCCCTCCTCCCTCTTTCCTCCTCCCTCGTCCTCGTCCTCCTCCTCCTCCTCCTCCTCCTCCTCCTCCCTTCTCCCCTCATCCCTCCTCACTCCTCCTTCCTCCTTCTCCTCCTCCTCCTCCTCCTCCTCCCCCTCCTCCTCCTGCTTCTCCCCCTCCTCTCCTCCTCCTCTCCTCCTCCTCCTCTCCTCCGCCTCCCCTCCTCTCATCCTCCTCCTCCTCCTCCTCCTCCTCCTCCTCCCTCCTCCTCCTCCTCCCCCTCCTCCTCCTCCTCCTCCCCTCCTCCTCCTCCTCCTTCTCCTCCACTCCTCCTCCTCCTCCTCCTCTCCTCCTCCTCCTCCTCCTCCACCCTCCTCCTCCTCTTCTTCCCCCCCTCCCCCTCCTCCTCCTCCTTCTCCTCCTCCTTCTCCTCTTCCTCCTCCTCCTGCTGCTGCTGCTCCTCCTCCGCCTTCTCCCCCTCCCGTCCTCCTCCCTCCTCCTCCTCCTCCTCCTCCTCCTCCTCCTCCTCATTCTCCTCCACTCCCTCCTCCCTCCCCTCCTCCTCCCTCCTCCCTCTCCCTCCTCCTCCTCCTCCTCCTCCTCTCCCTCCTCCTCCTTCTCCTGCTTCTCCCCTCCTCTCTCCTCCTCCTTCCTCCTCCCTCCTCCTCCCTCTCCTCCTCCTCCTCCTTCCTCCTCCTCCCGTCCTCCTCCTTTTCCTCCTCCTCCTCCTCCTCCTCCCGCTTCTCCCCGTACTCGAGCGTTGGCTCGTTCACCTGCCCTTTCTCACTTTCGCCTGTTGTAATGGTCTCCCCCTTCCGCTGCTGGTTTATTGGGGGCACGGAAGGTGGCCTAGCTTCCGTGCCCGCCCCAGGCGCGGTTTCAGGTATTTCACATATACCGCATTCCGTTTGCAGAAATGCAGGATCTTTCACATCTGCCGATCTACATCCTCATGTCTATAGTTGGTAGCGGAGCAGGTTCGCCCCTGCTCCCACCACGGCCGCCACGTGTCGTCCCGCGTCGACCGCAATGGCTTCCACCCTCCGCCGTTTTCGACTTCGAACAGCCGCCTTGAATACCATCGCCTTCGTGCAGTTCGCCCCCTTCGCCCTGACAGGACCACTGACAGAGAACATGTGCAACCAGTACCTCATCAAGGACAACATCGCCAAGATCTACAAGGACCGTTCTGCGACCCATCCCGGGCATGTTCGGACTGTGTCCAGGCAGCTCGCGGACCACACTGCCAGTGCCCCCGCCCGTGGTCGCACCTTCAACCAGTACTCCCATACCGACGCCGTATCCTGTCCGCTTGGCCGCCACTCAGCATCTGCGCAGTTCTGCGCCATTGGAGTAGCGAGTTCTTTGTTACAGTCGGCAAACAACGCAGTTTGGACAAGCGTATCACGTTACCAATGCCATGTGCGCATGTGCATCCCTCATCTTCTCAGGAACACTCCTGCCAGGGAGTGTCGCGACGATTGTGAGAACGACGCCCTTGAATGTCAGAGCTTTGGCCGACTTGTTAGTGGACGCATGGGTTGGAGGGAGTGTACGCTGCAATATCGCAGACATTTTTGATTCGCGGGTCGAGGGCGCACCTCTCCCGGGCGAGACTAAGCGGGCCGAGTGAAGCCTGAATTATCAGAGAGGGGGGGGACAGAAGGAGAGGCCTCACGTCAAGGCCAGGAGGAGGCAAAGCCTACACTCTCGCAAACATCCACACATCCCTTTTTGACACGTGCGGCCCCAACTCGTCTAATCCATCTTGCAGGAATACAGGTTTTTTTTTGTCGCGCGTGAGTTTTCCGGAACAACTTGCAGCGTATACCTATGGCGACTCTTGCAGGCTGATGCGGGAACGAACCTCCCCGAAGAGCAGACCCCCTGTGAACAAATCTCGTGCCGATGTGTGTTGCAGTCACGATTGGGTCAACCAGTCGTCTGGGACCTGACGTCCCAGCTTCGTGCGAACATGGATGTTACGTAGTCTGGCAGGATACTTCAACGAATGCGGGTTGTTTCTTATACATGAATATCCTGGTAATCGCGAGATCTCTGCACATATGCAAAACTACATTACCCCTGCTACCCCTATTTGTTTGCACATGATTGTGCACGCGGAGCTGTGCCCAACAGACTGTGCGGCAAGCGGCCCACACGATAATCCAAATGCTATGCCCCATGGAAAAGTCAGGTGCTTCCATGTGGAAACCATTCTTCGGCCTCTCGGGCCAGTCCTGACCGTAGGAGCAAGTTTGCGCTGGGCCCGTGAGGCGGCGGGCCGCGGCAATTCCCGGGCGGCTGGGCGGACCTTCTGTCACGCCGAACTCCGGTGGCCACCCACTCCGAAGCTGGGCTGGCGCCGGGGCTGCGGAGCGGCAGGAAGCGGAGGAGGAGGAGGAAGAGGAGGAGGAGGAGGAGGAGGAGGATGAGGAAGAGGAGAAAAAGTAGGAGGAGGAAAGGTAGGAGGAGGAGGAATAAAATTATTATTAATGGTAGTATTAGTATGACTAATATCAATGACAATACTATGGTAAGATAGGAAATATTAATAATAACAACATCAATAATGCTATATACTAATAATGCTAATACCAATAATGTTATTAATGGTGTTACTACTAATACCGATGGTGGTATTAATCATAAGACTACTATTAGTTTTAATAACGATAGCACTAACAAAACTATTATTATTATGAATCTTATGTCTAGCACCAGTACTAATACTGAAAGATTAATATCAATGTCAAGGTTCATGTTACTACTACTACTACTACTACTACTACTACTGCTACTGCTACTGCTACTGCTACTGCTACTGCTACTACTACTACTACTACTACTACTACTACTACTACTATTACGATTTTTACCACTACCACTACTACTACTACTGCTACTACTACTGCCGATACCAGTATTACTAATCATAGGAGTATCAATAATAATGACGGTATTAATAATACGAATCCTACTCCTACTGCTACTACTACTAATAATAGTAGTGCCAATGATGATGCTAATCTTACTGGTACTAATATTCATATTATTTCTAATCTGAATACTAGTAGCATTATTGACAATACTAATAACACTACTACTACTACTACTACTACTACTACTACTACTACTACTACTACTACTACTACTACTACTATCACTACTACTACTACAACTACTACTACTACTACTACTACTACTACTACTACGACTACTACTAGGATTTATAATACCAACCACACTGATCATACTACTACTAATAAACATCTCACTAGTATGAAGAACAATAAGACGAACTACTAAGAACAATATGACGAAGAATAAGAATAAGAGGGATCGTAATGATAATAATGATAAAATGAATAAAAGAAGCAGAGGAGGAAGTGGAGGAGGAGGAGGAGGAAGAGGAGCAAAAGGAGGAAGAGGAGGAGGAGGAGGAGGAGGAGGAGGAGGAGGAGGAGGAGGAGGAGGAGGAGTTGGGAGGACGATCCTGCAACTTTTACTCCCTGTTTCTCCTCCTCCCTCCCTCCTTCCTCCTCCTCCCTCCTCCCTCCCGCTTCCCTGGCGGATCTAAGGTTCGGCCATCCGACCTTCACGAACGGGCCAGGGCGCTTGCCAGACACTGTGGTGGCGTGCGTGGGCGGCGGCTCTAACGCCATCGGCATGTTCACCGCCTTCCTGCCGGACCGTCGGGAGCATGGCCATTCCTCACTCCCGTCACAGGGTACCTTCAATTGAACATTGTTCTATAGGCTTACGCCACATCCGCCGACCCCTATATAAACTACTGCGCCTCCAGGACTGCATTTCACGAGGCTTGTCCGAATCATGACACGGCGCGCGACATCGTTCCTGTTGCTTCGTTGCTGTTATCGTACCTCTTGGTGCTCTTTTGTGGCCTTTTGGTGGCATCTTGACTTGCCTGCAGGCCATACATATCTGGCCGCCTCGAGGCATCCTGGGCCTAGTTTTGGGGCCTCTTGGGGGCTTCCTGGGGGCTTCTTGGAGGCCTTTGAGGTTCTCTTGGGGGTCCCGCAGGGCCTCTTGGGGTGTTCTTGGGGCAGGCTGGGGCCGTCTTGGGGCCGAAGGCTCGAAAAGGTGCTCTCTGGACTCCCTCTTGGGGCCTCTTGGGCTGTCTTGGGGGCTTCGCGGGCTGTTTTTGGACCCTCTTCGACCCCTCTTGGGGACCCCTTCGGCCATCCGGGGGCGATATTGAAGGTTTCTTTGCACGTTTTGGACGTTGTGAAAGCCGAGAAGGCGAGCATGCGACACATGTTTTTTTTGTCTCAGAGGGAATGGGACGATTTTTGTTTCTTGGGACCCTCTCGGGACGCATCTTGGGGGCCTTTCGGGGCGTCTTGGCAGCTTCGGTTGCCGTGTGGATGCCATCGTGGGCGTCATGGAGCGATATTTCGGCGACTCGTGTCCTTCTGGGACCGTCTGGGGAGCGTTTTGGTGCCTTCTCGGTTCGTTTTGGAGCCCTCCGCTCCCCCATGGCGCGTTCGGTCCGGGGTCGCGCCGGGCCATGGGGGGGGGGGTGTCAAATTGCCGGTTTGGGGTCCCTGGGGGGGGTTTATGGGGGGGGATAATCTCACACGCCGAGAGACCCACAAGGGGTCGGCGGATTTCTTCGGCCAGAGTTTCACCAGGACTTAACCAGGGGTCCCCTTTCTCTAAGACGAAAGGAAATGGATCCCGGCATCCTGCGGCGTAGAAGAGGCCAAAGCCGTGAGAAATCACGACTGGGCCTCTCGTACCAGTCGTTGCACTGTTCTTTCTGAGTCAGGTCGAACCACTAGAGTCCGAGGGTCCGACACGGGGCGGAAAAGCTTGGCGCGAGGATTTCACGACGCACGCTCGTCACCGTTTCGCGGCCATCTGCGAACCCCAGCCCGTGCAAGTCCGATCGGCGCTGGGGTATCGGACACCCCCGTTGCGGTTCACTTGGCTGCAGACATCCTTCAAATTCGGAGCCCCTGCCAGCTTTCCAGAGATCAGACCTGCAGGGGTGGGGCTCGCACGTGGCTGCCTGACCAGCTTCCCTCCCGCAGCGAACGTCACTCAGGATCCAGTCCACGGGCCCCTCCTGGGCACCCTCCTCCCCTGCTTTCCGGCCGCGAGCCTTGGGGACGAGGGGGGCCCCCGAAGGGCCCCCCCATACCGCGAGCACCTTCTGGGAGCCTCCCAAATCCCTGGCAGGCTTCGCGGCCCGCAGCCTCAGAGACGGCGGGTGGCGGAGCAGGGTCTTCCAGGGGCCTGTGGAAACTCCGGGAACTGCGCAGACGTCTCGGGAGACTCCCCCACAACCTCTGGGACCCTGGACACCTCTGCTGGAGACCTCCAGACGCTCCTGGGAGCTTCTAGAGGCCTCCAACCACACTCCTGGGTGCCTCCAGAGACCTCCCAAGCCATCTGGAAGTCTCTGGAAGCCATTGGGACCCCCTGGGAACTTTCGGAACCTAGTGATAATCCGTGGGCCCAGACATGTGGGTCAACCCTTCTCCTCCTCCTCCTCCTCCTCTCCCTCCTCCTCCTCCTCCTCCTCCTCCTCCTCCTCCTCCTCCTCCTCCTCCCCCTCCTCCTCCTCCTCCTCCTCCTCCTCCTCCCTCCTCCCCTCCTCCTCCTCCTCCTCCTCCTCCTCCTCCTCCTCCCCCTCCTCCTCAATAGTGTGTCCCTAGATGGGCCGACCCTTTTCCATAGGGCCGTTTTTTTATCCAGAGTTGTTTCTTTGGTTGCCCCGGGGCCCAGCGTGGGCCCCGAGAGGCCGAAAGCTGCCGAACAGCTCCCGTCGTGATTCTTTCGAGGCGCGAGGAGACTTGGTGTTCAGGCCGAAGCTGCCGAACACTTTTTTGATCCGCGGGGCGAGAGCGCACCTCTTCCGGTCGAAGCTGAGCGGGCCGCGCGAAGCTGGAAGTAACAGAGAGGGGAAGGAAGGGGGGGAGAGCGCAGCAGCCTCAGGGCGAGGCCGGGAGGAGGCAAAGCCTCGGGATCAGGCGGTGCCGGAATCGACGTGCTTGCAAAGGCGCGCCTTGTCCAGGAACCAGGTGGCGCCGAAACTGCCAGACACCTCCCGTCGTGATGGCCGTTCGGGACGGTCGGGGCACCCCCACAACGCCCTCTGCGAGGCGCAGCTGCTGGAAGGCATCCCGAGGCTGGAAGCCCGCCGGGAGCCGATGAAGACGACCGAAAGCCTCGAAGCCAGAACTTGAAGCGACCATGTCTGGGGGGTTCCGATCTGGGGAGGACAAGATGTCTGGGGGGTTCCGATCTGGGGAGGACAAGGAGGTCCAGATCGTCGGCGTCGAGGCGGGCGGCGTGCATGGGCCGTGGCTGCCCGACGGCAGCAGGACGGACAAGCACGCGGCGACACTCACCGACGGCGGGGCGGGTCGGCCAAGAACCAAACGACACCACCCCACCTGCAGTCGGACCGAGGTGTAAGATCGAGGTCGCTTCGGGGAGGGTGCCCTACTGTTCTTCGTGTTTGTTGGACGTTCTCTTGCACCCTGGTGGAGGGCACCCTCGAATGTTCTGTGTGTTTTGGCCGGCGGAGGGTTTCATGTTCTTGATGGATGTTCTTCCGGCCTAGGTCCGACTGTCTGACCCGCCGTGCTGAATTGTGACGACCTTGCCGTGCGTTCGCCTCGGAGGCCGAGGTGACACGCGGAGACTGCACGCGGCAGGGGCGCATCGCTGGGTCGTCGGTGGGGTGGTGTCGTTGGGTTTCTGGTCCAGCGGGGGCGCTGCCGGCCCAGCAGCCCGCGCGGTGACATGATTCAGGAGGGGAAAGAACACAGACACAATTAATCGTCGATTCCCAGAAAATATGGGAAAATATGGAAAGTTTGGGGGGGGATGCAAAAACCCAGAAACTATAGGAAAATATGGGGAATCCTGTCATTTGCGTGCATGTATTTGTGTGTCCCAGGGCCCCTTCAATGATGTGGTGAGGAGCAGGAGGGAGGAGGAGCAGAAGGGACAGCGCCAGGGGCAAGTTTTTTCGAGAGTCTTCGACCGTCTGCGAGGCCCGCGGTGCGTTCCCGTCAGCTGCGCCTCGTGGGCGCCTCGTGGGGGTGCCCGGATCGTCCCGAGGAGCCGCCGGAGAGCCGAGCCGCGGCCCGAAGAGAGCGCAGGAGGGCAGGCTCGTGCTCCCCTCCGGCCCAGGCGCCGCATGTTTTTTTCGCACTCCGGGCGTCTGCGCCCCGCTTCGGGCCCTCCCAGAGCATCGATGCTACTGCTCCTCCTCCCTCCCTCCTCCCTCATCCCTCGCTCCCTTCGGGCCGGGCGAAAGGGGGGGACTGGGAAAGGGGGGGTTACGAAATTAGCTGCATGCAGCTGGGTTCGGCCCCACCGAGGGGCCCATTCCTCGATACATGGCCGCCTCCGGCGCCGGGAGGCGCCAGGAAAATCAGCTACGTGAGCTGATTCTCAAACCCCCCCTTTGCTATCCCCCCCTTTCGCTCGACCCGATCCCTCCTCCCTCCTCCTCGCAGGCAGATGTGGGGACGGGGGACGGAGGGCAGATGGATGGGCGGAGGGAGGATGGAGGGCAGACGGATGGGTGCGGCACGGGAGGATGGAGCGGGATCGACGACGGAGAGAGGATGGATGGGGAGATCGGGGGCTGAGAGAGGGTGGATTGGTCGACGGAAAATCGTTGCACAACAGAATATGTTGCGTAACAAAATTTCTCGGAAGCGCCGATCCAAGAGATCCGCGCGGACCTCTGAGAAATGTTGTTTATGCTGTTTTTTGCTAGTCGAATTGGGGGAGCCTGCAGGATTTTGGATGCACCAGCTCTGGGCCGCCTGGGATTTGGGTGGACAGACAGCTCGCACCCATGTCTCCATGTGGCAGCAGTAATCCCCCGATATGGCTTCTGGACTTGAGCCAAATTGAAGCGGAGTGCGCAATCACATGCTAAACCTCCTCGACGATTCAGGCATTCTCCGACATGCCCAATGATTTCTTCTAGGTTGAGCTGTCCCATACATGGACAGCTTTAGCAAAACCACACAGCGGCACTCTATATGGAGCCCGCGCCCAGCCGGCGGGCTCGTCCCTTTGTCACCCTTTGGGCTGGGTTACTCTGATACGGGCAAGTAGGTAAATTGGGTGAAGCAGAAGCAGACAAGGATGAACAAGGAATCATTGAAAAGACTGGCCACAGAGAGTGGGAGAGGAGGAGAGGAGAGAGGAGACCGCACCACTACCGACACCACCACCACCACCACCACCGGTCTTGAGGCCCAGGGACAGGAGTTCCTCCCAAGTGATCATGCTCTGGTCGCTGTCTAGAACTCTCCCGTTCTCCTCGATGCATCCTGGGATCGATTCTTGAGGCCTGGATCATCCTTCCTTCTCTCCACCTCCGAGCTCACGTCAACCAGCACCATCTTACCATTGTTCATCAGGTCGAAAAGTGCTGAGTTATGAATAGTGATGCCGTCCTTGATGAAAGCATCCACTGGCAGTTTTATGTAAGGAATCCAACGTATCTTACCACGAACTTCCTTCAGCGACTCGCACACTATGGTCAGATCTATGGCAGTCCTCCTGTCCTTGGCGCTGGCATTCCCTTCTTTTTGCAAGATGTCGTATTTGGAGCTCGCATCTACCACGTGGATGTGTTGCTCTCTCGAGCTCAAGGATCAATTTCTTCCCATGTCGGTGGTGAACGAACTCCAGCTTCGATGATTTTCGCGTGCCATTACATCTCGGAAGGTCACGTTACACAATAGGATTTGGAGATACTCTACTTCTGCCACTGCCGCCGATAACGCCTGGGTCTCGCAGACAAGAGTCGATGTAACTTTTCTTCTGAATCTCGAACTTCGCCATCCCAGGGTAGACGCTCTTACCGAGGAATTGTCGATTACACTGCAGTCGCACGCTAAGACCATTTACGCTCCCTGGGTCGGGTCCTCCGACAACCCGTTGACATCGATCATGCCCCTGTGAGCGCCAAGCCCCCCCCGCATCCGAGAAAGAAACGAACGACGCTCTCTCCGGGTCCACTTTCCACACAAGCAGTCCGCGTATGTCCGCGTGAGGCCGAGGAGCGAATTTGCTTCACCAATTTGTTTGCAAGAGAGACGTCGCCCGTCATTTGAGCCCGCAGTCGACTAGCCAGAATGCTCGCAACTCCAGCTGCCTCTGGTCGTGCCCAGTTGAATGTGTACTCGAGGGAGCGTAGCGCTTCAAACTCCTGGGTTTCCAATGGCGAATCTCGGCGGGATAGTGGTCCATTGGCTGCCCACAACGGTCTGATTTCCTCCAGGATGTACTCCTCCATGTCGATCCTGGCCCTCCTGGGGCCAATAGCGATACGACGTCCCGCGATGTCCACAGAAGCCTCGTGACAACCTCTGCACTTGCCGAAACGGAAGCGGGACTCAAGGAGGCTTCTCAGCAAGGATTTTGATTCCTGGGAGGAGGAACCGATGAAGAAATCGTCGACGTCCAGGAGCATCATATTCAGGACCTCGCCCTGGGGCCCGTACCGAATCCACCACCATGGTTCGAGCAGGCATCTCGTGAACCCGTGTTTCTCGATGGAACGAGACTGCAGGAGAGAGGTGGGGGAGGGAGCCTGTCAGGTGGGTCAACCTGGTCTCGCTTGACCTCGGGAGGGCACGAGCTGGCACGATTGCCTGCTGTCTCCTGGCCCCCGCCCGTTCTGACACGGGCGGGGACGTCATTCGGCTGCGCACGTCGTGCTCTCGTTCCGGGAGTCCCGGAATCGGTCGTTCATGTGTGAAGCTGCTGCAAGCCTCTAAGCCGAATCTGCGCGGCACTACGGCCAGAGCCACGTTTCGAAAAGGACCCAACTTCCATCCGCAACGAGTTTGTCAATTTCAAGTTTCAGGGTCAGACATTGCGACAGAGTTTCAGGCGAAACGCCCAGCCGGCCCTGCCGACACATCTGGCCTGCGGCAGGGAGGAGTTGTAAGGAGAAGAAGTGGAGGACGAGGAGGAGGAGAAGGAGGAGGCGGCGGAGAACGATGAGGATGAGGATGAGGAGTATAAGGAGGGAAGGAGGACGGTGATGAGGATGAAGATGAGGAGGATGACGGTGAGGATGACGGTGGGGATGACGGAGGGAGGGATAGAGGGAGAAAGGGGATGAGCATCGAGTTTTCGACCACACCAGGTCGCTCTTCCCCTACCTCCTCGCGCTTCCTCCCCCCTTTCCTCCCCCTCCTCCTCCTCCTCCTCCATCTTCTTCTCCATCCTCTTTTCCTCATCCCCATCCCTTCTCCTGCTCGAGGGTGGGTGGTGGGTGGTGGTTGGGTGAGGGGAGGGTGAGGGGAGGATGTGTTGATGGATGGATGGATGGGCAGATAGATGGGTGGATGGATGGATGGATGGATGGATGGAGATGATGATGACGAGGACGAGGGCGAGGGCGACGACAACGACGACGACGACGATCATGATATCGATGATGAGGATGCTGCTGCTGATGATGAGGATGCTGATGCTGCTGCTGCTGCTGACGATGATGAGGCTGATGGCGATCACACTCGCGATGATGATGATGCTGCTGATGATGATGCTGGTGTTGATGCTGATGCTGATGATGCTGATGCTGATGATGCTGATCGATGGTGATGCTGCTCATGGTGGTGGTGGTGATGGATGTGGTGGTGATGCTGATGCTGATGCTGATGAGGATGATGACGGTGCGGATGATGATGATGCTGCTGATGATGATGATGATGAAGAAGCTGATGATGATGCTGATGCTGATGCTGATGCTGCTGATGATGATGACGGTCGTGAGAATTATGGTGATGATGACGACGATGCTGATGCTGATTCTGATGATGATGATGATGATGATGATGATGATGATGGTAATGCTGATGATGATGATGATGATGATGATGATGATGATGATGATGATGATGATGATGATGATGATGATGATGATGATGATGATGCGCACACTGATGGTGATCAGGGGGAGATTGGTGGCGTTGATGTAACTAACCATAATGGTCGATGCTGGTGCTGATGACTATGATCTACTATGATGATGCTGCTGATGATGATGAGGGTGCTGATGATGATTCCGATGATGGTGATGAGGAACATTCTGGTGATGAGGGTGGTGGTGATGATGCTGTTGAGGTTGATGATGCTTGTAATCTGATGATGGCGAGGGGGATGCGAAGGAGGATCAGGAGAAGAAGAATCAGGAGGAGGAGGAGGAGGATGACGACGACGACAGCAAGGAGTCCCCTTTTCCAAGCTCGCTGGGGGTGCGGCAGGTGTGGTGGGTGTGCTCCACGGGTCGCGGACGTACCTCCTGCAGACACCAGATGGGCAGATCAAGGCCAGGGGGAGGGGGACGGAGGGGCATCGATGAGGATGATGATGCTGATGATGATGCTGATGATGATGATGATGATGATGATGATGATGATGATGGTGGCGATGCTGATGATGCTGATGATGAGTATGATGATGAATCTGATGCTGATGCTGATGCTGATGATGGTGATGATGATTAGGCTGACGACGATGAGGATGATGATGATGAGGATGATGATGATGATGATGCTGTTGACGACGACGGTGCTTATGATGCTGATCATGATGCTGAGAATGATGATAAGGTGGATGCTGGTGATGATGGTGATGATGATGATGCTGCTTGTGATGCTGATGATGATGCTGATGACGATGATGATGACGGTGCTAATGATGATTGTGATGTTGATGATGATGATGATGATGATTATGCTGATGATGATGACGATGCTGATGCTGCTGATGATGATGATGATGATGATACTGCTGCTACTGCTGATGATGATGATGGTGATGATGGTGATGATGATGATGATGATGATGATGATGATGATGATGATGGTGATGCTGGTGATGCTTGTGATGATGAGGATGATGATGATGAGGATGATGATGATCATGATGATGATGATGATGATGATGGTGGTGGTGGTGGTGGTGGTGATGATGATGATGATGATGATGATGATGATGATGATGATGATGCGCACACTGATGATGATCAGGAGGAGGAGGTGGTGGAGGAGGAGGGGAAGGCGGGACGATGGATGATGATGAGGATTATGAGGATAATGAGGGTGGGGGAGGATGGAGGACGGAGGAGGGATGACCAAGAGGTAGGGGGAGAAGGACTCGCTGAGTCGTTGTGTCGCTGGCAGATTGGTGGAGGTCTCACCCCAGACTGCGAAGACGGGCGGCTCCGACACCGCAGCCCGTGTTGCACGCAGGTCGCCAGCGCCAGCTCCCAAACATTTACAGAGTCTTGGACGCTTCCCCCCATCTGCGGGGGAAAGCCCGCGGCGGCTGCAACGGTTGGCCGAATAGGCTTGAAAGAAATATTACTCCAACAAAGCATTTCAATTGCAGCAACGGTGAAGAGGCGGGTCGAGCAGAAGGAGATCGGTTTGTGAAACGTGCATCCTCAGATCTTTGATGTTCCTGGGGGTGCCCAGGAGGCACGCGAAGTGAGGTAGGGTGTGCTCTGTTTTATACGAGCCGTGCGTGGCAATGGAGTTCCTGGCAGCACGAAGAGCAGGAACACGGAGAGCACGGCCATGTGCACCTCAGCCTACTCTCAGCACAGCATCGTGGCCGTCCAGGCCAAAAGTAGCCAGCACTGAGGCGAGAGCACGAACTTTCTGGAATGCACTGGAAGGAAGTCGCAGGCGAACCCGCCGCCGGACCGCTGCCGCACCTGGCGGTCCCGGGCTCCCCGGCCTCCCTTCGGGACAATTTCTGTATCTTCTTCGCAACATTCGAAGCCTTCAGCGAAGCGCTACTAGGAAAAGAGAGGGAGGGGGGCGAGGGGGAAGGTACGGAGCCATCCCGTGCAAGAAGGCTGGGGAGCTTGGCCAAAGGGCTCTGAGTTGAATGCACGGTGGCTGGCTCTCTGGCGAGAGGCGTCTCTGCCGTCACTGTCATGGCGGATGTGCAATGAAGCGTCGCAATGGCGTTCGGTGGTGACCTCAGACGTGGCCGTCAATGTTTCGGGTAGAAGGAGAACTCACGCACACACACATGTATATCTATATATCTACCTACCTGCCTAGCTACCTACCTACCTACCTACCTATCTATCTATCTATCTATCTATCTGTCTATCTATCTATCTATCTATCTATCTATCTATCTATCTATCTATCTATCTATCTATCCCCGTGCACGAGGCCCGGGCGCCCGGGGCCCCGGGCACGGGGGGGCATGGGAGGACCGGGGTTTCCCAGACCGCTCCCAGAGCACCCTGGAGCGGCCCTGGAGCTCCCAGATTGCCCCACAGAGCTCCCAGAAGCCCTCGGGGACTTCGACAAGCCCCTCCAAGACAGCCCAGATAGGCCCAACGTGGCCCAAGATGGGTTCGAGACTGCAAATACCCCAAGAGGCTTCCAAGAGGCCTCAAGAGAGCTCCGAGAAGCATCCCGAGAGAGCCCGAAGAGGCCCAAACCAATGATTTTCATAGTTTTTTATTTTTTTTGGTTTCTCGCGTTTTCGACCGTCCGATGCTCCAAGACGGCCGACGACGCTCCCAAGAACGCCCTAAGACCGCCGAAGAGGCCCGCAAAAGAGCCCCGAGACGGCACCAGGGAGTTTGAAAATTGCCCAGGAGGAGCCCCAGACAGCCCAAGAGAGCCCCAGGACAGGCCCAAGCTGAGCCACAGAGCGCGAGCGGGAGGCGCTAAGGCGCTCCAAGACGGCCCAGACGGACCCAACGTGGCCTCAGATGGGCCCACCACTGCAAATACACGGCTCAAGAGGCCTCCAAGAGGCCCCAAGAGAGCTCCGAGAGGCGTCCCGAGAGAGCCCGAAGAGGCCCATATCTTTGATTCCTGGTCGTTTTTTCAAATGTTTTTCGCTTTCCCGCGTTCTCGAGCTTCCAACGCTCCAACACGGCCGAATACGCCCCGAAGGTTGCCCCGAGACCGCCGAAGAGGCCCCCCAAAGAGCTCTAAGACGGCCCAGGAGAGCCTGAAGACTGCCCAAGAGCAGCCCAAGACTGCCAAAGAGAGCCCCAGGACAGGCCCAAGCTGGGCCACAAAGCGGCAGCGGTCGGCGCAAGAGCCCAAAAGGCCTCCAAGAGGGCTCAAGAGAGCTCCGAGAGACGCCCCGAGAGAGCCCAAAGAGGCCCAAATCATTGATATGCACTGGTTAGTTCGATGTTTTTCGTTTTCTCGCGTTCTCGTGCTTCCAATGCTCGAAGACGGCAGAAGACGCCCCCAAGACCGCCCCAAGACCGCCGAAGAGGCGCTCAAAAGACCCCCAAGACGGCCCCAGGGAGCCCGAAAATTGCCCAGGAGGAGTCCCATACGGCCCAACAGAGCCCCAGGACAGGCCCAGGCTGGGCCACAGACCGGGAGCGGGAGACCCCAAGGCGCTCCGAGACGGCTCAGATGGCCCCAACGTCGCCCCAGACTGGCCCACCACGGCAAACACACAGGCCAAGAGGTCCCACGAGGTCCCAAGAGAGCTCCGAGAGGCGTCCCGAGAGAGCCCGGGCCTTGCATTCGAAAGACAAAGGAGTTGCCATCTCTTCCTCGGCGGCCGCACTGGGTCTGGGCCTCGACGGTGTGACGCCCGTATCGGCGGGGGGGTACCTCTGTCGTTCAGCGCAGCACGACCCTCGGTCTCAGTCTTGCCCTGCTGGTGGCGGCGATAGCCAGGCGCCCGTGGCCGTCCTGGGCGGCCCCTAGGTATTCACGTTTTCCGTACGGGCAACCCGCATACTCAGGATGGGCAACCTTCCCAATTGTATCCTTGCATCCTTGCTTCCTCGGTCCATCCTTGGCCACTTTCGCTGACCGCGCCCCGCTCGAAAAGCTTCTAAATGGCCTTCCAAGGCCCTTGCCTCCTTATCGTGAGTCCGTATGATGGGGGCTGACTGTGCAAGGTATGTATTGGCGTGCGCCACGTAAGCCCCGTGGGCCTTTGTATACCCCCTCCCAGGAGGAGCCTCAGACGGCCCAAAAGAGCCCCAGGACAGGCCCAAACTGGGCCACAGACCGGGAGCGGGAGACCCCAAGGCGCTCCAAGACGGCCCTGATGGCCCCAACGTGGCCCCAGATGGGCCCGACACGGCCAATACACAGCCAAAGAGCCCTCCAAGAGGTCCCAAGAGAGCTCCGAGAGGCGCCCCGAGAAAGTCCGAAGATGCCCATATCTTGCATTCCTGGTAGTTTTTTCACATGTTTTTCCCTCTCTCGCGTGCTCGAGCTTCCAACACTCCCGAAGACGCCCCGAAGATCGCCCCGAGACCGCCGAAGAGGCCCCCCAAAGAGCCCCAAGACGTCCCAGGAGAGCCTGAAGACTGCCCAAGAGCAGCCCAAAACTGCCCAAGATAATCCCAGGAGAGGCACAAGATGGGCCCCAGAGCGGGAGCGGGAAGCCCCAGGGCGCTCCAGGACAGTCGAGATGATTCCAACGTGGCCCGAGAGGAGCTCAAGACGGCAAACGCACAGCCCAAAAGGCCTCCAAGAGGGCCCAAGAGAGCTTCGAAAGACATCCCGAGAGAGCCCAAAGAGGCCCAAATCATTGATTTGCATTGGTTTGTTTGATGTTTTTCGCTTTCTCGCGTTCTCGAGCTTCCAATGCTCGAAGACGGCCGCAGACGCCCCCAAGATCGCCCCGAGACTGCCGAAGAGGCACCCAAAAGAGCTCCGAGACGGCTCCAGGGAGCCCGAAAATAGTCCAGGAGGAGCCCCAGACGGCCCAAGAGAACCCCAGGACAGGCCCAAGCTGGGCCACAGAGCGGTAGACGGAGGCCCCAGAGCGCTTCAAGACGGCCCAGATGGCCCGGGCCTCCCCCCTCCGCCCCTCCTTCCCTCCCGCCCCCTCACCTTGCCTCCATTTCCTCCTCTCTCCTCTTCCTCCCCTCGCCCTCAGCTTTCGTGCTCCTCCCGCCTCTCCTGGGACGGCCCCGCCAGAGCGCCAGACAGGCACCGCCAGAGCGAGCGGGGCATCGATATACCCTATCATTTCACAAGGTGCTTTCCCCCTCCCACCCCTCAAGGGCGGCCCCGGCAGAGCGAGAGCGTTCTGACTACGCGTTTCTTTGCGTCGATGGCTTGGGCCCGAGAACGCTTGAAATCGTCGGGGTTTACAGCGGCACCCGTGTTTCATCTGCGAGTAGAACCTGAGCGCGCGTAACGCGCGTGGTTCTAGTATACATGTGTATATATACATATATATATATATATGTTTCCTTATGTGTGTATTTATATATGTGTATGTGTATGTGTCTGCGCGCGCAAAGATCTGTTGTTTACGTACAGTCGCAGATGCATGCATGTATGTGCTACGTGGCGTAGTATA